AAGTCTACTCTTATCCTGCTATTTTCCTTTACGCCGCGTTATCTTGGTCAATTTCTCGACGTTACTTATCCATTGTCTTGGGTTCTTAGAGATGCCAGGAAAGTGCGAATCTTAAATCTAAATTGCCACGGTTTGTCAGCGTCTCCTCCAGAACTGTTTATATATATATATATATATATATATATATATATTTAGATTTGAATTTAGATTTGAACATCAACAATTGCAAACAATAACGATAATTATTCTTATTGTCAACAATTATTATTAATAATCGAAGAAATTTCTTAAATGACAACGAGAAAAAAATAATAATAATAATAATAATAATAATAATAATAATAATAATAATTATAATGATGAAAAATAATAATGAAAAATAATAATAATAATAATAATAAAAAAAATAATAATAATAATAATAATAAAGCAAAACGTTAAACTGATCAAAAATTTAGGACAACCCAAACTTTATGACAACCACAAACTTTAATTCATATCCTAAAATTTATGGTATAACCAAAACTTCAATTTCACCTAAAGTTTACAAAAACCTAAAAACTTTGTAACAAACAAAACTAAAAATTGACCAAAACTTTATGGCAACCAAAACTTGAATTTATCTTAAAGTTTATGAGAAAACAAAATTCAAACTTGACTAAAAATTTATAGAAAATCAAAAACTTAAAATTGACCCACAAATATACTATTTAGAACCAAAATTTAAAATTTCCCAAAAACTTTACAATAAATAATAACTTAAAAATAACCTAAACTTTAAGGCAATCAAAATTTTAATGTTAAAAAAAAAAAAAAATTTTTAATTATCTTTAACTTTAATAGAACTAAAACTGCAATTTTGACTTGAATGTTAATAGAATCAAAAGTTGAAAATGACGTAAACTTTAAATACAAACTATATAAATCTGAGATTCGCCTCAAACCTTAAATGGAACCAAAACTTGCCAGTGACACAAAAATTATATAGAAAAATTAAAACTTAAAATTCATCTATACACTTTAATAAAACAAAAATTGGCCTAAAATTTGAGGACATCAAAACTTATAATTCATATTTAAACTTTACGAAAATTGTAATACGAAATTGGTTTTAATTTTAATAAACCAATAATTTGTAAATTTTTATTCAAACTTTAATGAAACCAAAACTTAAAATTGATATAAACTTTAATAGAATCAAAACTTTAAAGAGACCTAAACTTTATTAGAACATGAATTTGAAATTGACGTAAACTTTATGGCAACTAGAATTTGAATGTGATTTAAACTTTAATAGGGAACCAAAACTTTAAATTGACACAAATTTTAATAGAATCAAAACTTGAAAATGACCTAAAGTTTAGGGCAACCAAAACTTGAATTTGTCCTTAATTTTATGCCATCCAAAAACTTTAATGAAACCAAAACTTGTAATTAACAAAAACTTTAAGGTAACAAAAAATTTGAAAATGTCTTAAACTTTAATGGAACCAAAACTTAAAATTGTCTGAAACTTTAATTGAACCAAAACTTGAAATTGGTCTTAACTTAAAATGGAACAAAAATTTGAAATTGACCAAACTTTAATGAAATCTAAACTTAAAATTGTATGTAACTTTAATGGAACCAAAACTTAAAATTGGTCAAAACTTAAAATGGAACCAAAACTTGAAATTGGTCGAAACTTAAAATGGAACCAAAACTTGAAATTGGCCGAAACTTAAAATGGAACAAAAATTTGAAATTGACCCAAACTTTAATGAAACCTAAACTTAAAATTGTATGTAACTTTAATGGAACCATAACTTGAAATTGGTCTTAACTTAAAATGGAACCAAAACTTGAAATTGGACAAAACTAAAAATGGAACAAAAATTTGAAATTGATCCAAACCTTAATGGAGCCAAAACTTTAAATTGACCCAAACTTTAATGGAAACAAAATTTCAAATTGATCCAAACTTTAATGGAACCAAAACTTTAAATTGATCCAAACTTTAATGAAACCAAAACTTTAAATTGATCTAAACTTTAATGGAACCAAAACTTGAAAAAGACCCAAACTTTAATGAAACCTAAACTTAAAATTGTCAGGAATTTTAATGGGACTATAACCGGAAATTGTCTGAAACTAATTGAACCAAAACTTGAAATTGGTCGAAACTTAAAATGAAACCAAAACTTAAAATTGGCCGAAACTTAAAATGGAACAAAAATTTGAAATTGACCAAACTTTAATGAAATCTAAACTTAAAATTGTATGTAACTTTAATGGAACCAAAACTTAAAATTGACCCAAACTTCAATGAAAACTAAACTTTAAATTGTATGTAACTTTAATGAAACTAAAACTTGAAATTGACCAAAACTTTAATGAAACCTAAACTTGAAGTTGTCTTAAACTTTAATGGAACCAAAACTGGAAATTGTCTGATACTTTAATTGAACCAAAACTTGAAATTGGTCGAAACTTAAAATGGAACAAAAACTTGAAATTGACCCAAACTTTAATGAAACTTAAACTTAAATTTGTCAGGTATTTTAATTGAACCAAAACTTGAAATTGACCTAAACTTTTGAGCAACAAAAATTTGAAATTGAATCATACTTTAATGAACCCTAAACTTAAAATTGTCAGGAAGTTTAATTGAACCAAAACTTGAAATTGACCTAAACACATCAACTTAATTTTTGTAATTGTAATTTAATTATCAAAAAAAAAAAAATAGTATTTAAAGTATTTGCAACTAAAAAAGTTAAAACTAAAAACAGAAAATAAATTGTTTCTAAGAAAAAAGGAAAAACCACATTCTCTATATTGCTTTGGGTGAAAATGTGTAGAAGTCGTTGAAACTAGCAAAAAGGCGATAAGTTTGAATTATCTGAATACTTGTGTATAAGATAGTTGCGACTATATATATATATACACATTGACAATATACCGATAGATCACAAAATGTCTCTATGATTTCTTTTCAATTGGAATGTGACTGAAAGGGATTCCATGAGATCGTGGCGAATAAAATCTTTATAGCTTGACTTTGTTTTATATATATATATATATATATATATATATATATATATATATATATATATATAGTAACTGACCTTGACTTGCTTGGATCACGCCTTTTCTTTTTGCGAATCGATTAGCAGATCCGATTTTTTTGTTCACACAAGTCGACAATTACTCAACACGACGGGAAGAGATACCGTTGTCTTCGCGGTTTTACGTAACGAAACATTGTGCCGGGGCCGCGTGTAATTACTCCCGGAATTGAAGGTGATGCCGTGAAAAAATAAAAAAAAAAAAAACAAAGTTATAATTCCCCTCTTTATTTTTGTTTTTTTTCCTTTTTTGGTATAATAAAAAATTTTTTGAAAAAGAAAAAAAATGTTTAAGAGAAATTCAGAAATATTTTTTATGTAATGATAAATTTTTGAAAATAATTATAGTTAGAAAAATAATTGGAATAATAATGATAAACCAAAAACTAATGGTAAACGAATGTTAAACAAATAATAAACAAATAGAAAGTAAATGACAACCAATGTTAAACAAAAAATGAACCCATAGAAAGTAAATGATAAATCCAAAAAAAATGGTAAACCAATAATACATCAATAAAAAGTAAATGATAAACGAATTTTAAACCAATAATAAACCAATAATATGCCAATAGAAAGTAAAAGATAAACCAATGTTAAATTAAAAACCAACGGTAAACCAGAAACCAATGGTAAACCAAAAATCAATGATAAACCAATGTTAAACCAATAATAAACCAATAGGAAGTAAATGATAAACGAATGTTAAATCAATAATATGTCAATAGAAATGAATGATAAACCAATGTTAGATCAAAAACCAATGGTAAACCAATATTAAACCAATAGAAAGTAAATGATAAGCGAATGTTAAACCAATAATATGCCAATAGAAAATAAATGATAAACCAATGATAAACCAAAAACCAATGGTAAACCAATATTAAACCAATAATAAACCAATAGAAAGTAAATGACAACCAATGTTAAATCAAAAATGAACTCATAGAAAGTAAAAGATAAACCAATGTTAAATCAATAATCAATTATAAACCAACTGAATGTAAATGATAAACCAATGTTAAACCAATAACGAACGAATAGAAAGTAAATGATAAACCAAAAATAATTAGTAAACGAATGGTAAACCAATGATAAATTAATATTAAACCAATAATATGCCAATGGAAAGTAAAAGATAAACCAATGATAAACCAATGTTAAATCAAAAACCAACAGTAAGCCAGAAACCAATGGTAAATCAAAAATCAATGATAAACCAATGTTAAACCAATAATGAACGAATAGAAAAAAAATGATAAACCAAAAACCAAAAATAAACTAATGTTAAATCAATGTTAAACCAATTATATATCAATAGAAAGTAAATGGTAAATTAATAATGAACTAATATTATATCAATAGAAAATAAGTATTAAACCAATAAAAAATTACTAATAATCAAATAGTAAATCAAAAATAAAACAATAAAAAATTATTAATAATAATAAACCAATAACCAATATTAAATAAGTAATAAACCAATATTGAACCAATAAAAATAATTGTTAATAAATTAGAAATAAACCAAAAATAAAGAAAAATTTTTTAAATATTTTTTTTCGAAAAAACTGAAAATTGTAAATTTTAACTCTATTAAAAAGATAAAAAAAAAAAATAATTATGATTACAAAAAGTAATAAATTTATTTCGCTGTTGCATAAAAGCGATAAATGTGCAATTATAACTGTTTTCATTCTTAATTAACGGAACTTTATTATTATTATTATTATTACTATTATTATTATTAATAATAATAATAATAATAATAATAATAATAATAATAATAGAAGTTTCTTAAAAGTCATATGTAAAATTTAAAATTAATTTAAAAAAAAAATAATCTAAAAATAGAAAATTAACATTATCTAATGTAATTTTTTTTCTTCTTACCTTTAAGGTGAGCAGAGTTTCAGGGAAGATGCCCAAAGAACTAAGTGTTTCCGAGTCATTTTGTAACTCGTGACCGTCTAACATTAAATGTTGATCAAATGGTCCTGCTCCAAAAATTGGCATCACCTTAAAAAAAAATAAATTTTTTTTTGAAACTATATTTTCTAATTTTGTTATATAGATTATTATAAAATAATTTTTTGGAAAATATTAAAAATTATTATTATTAAAAATAAATATTTCAAAATATTTAAAATTATTATTATTATTATTATTATTATTATTATTATTATTATTATTAAAACTAAATTTATAAAATAATTTTTAATTAATTAAAATATACGACAATAAATTTTAAAACTTAAAAATATAAACATTCAATAATAAGAAAAGAAAAATGAAATAAATTTTGATTGATTGCATTTAAAATAAATAAAAATCTCATTATTAATTCTGTCTCTTGTTGTTGTTGTCTCCGCGAAAACGAAAAGGAATTTCTCTTAAATCTGAAAAATTAATAATGTCCCGAAGTATATAGTCTTTGGCTTGCTTGATTTGATAAAAACTTGTTGGAGAGTTTATACTTGCACGTGTTCGTTCACAATGTAAATTGTCAGTCTGGCAATGTCCGCGCTTGCAATCCTAGAGATGTAAAAAGCTGTCAGTCTAACAAGTTTTTATATAAATATATATATATATATATATATATATATATATATATTTCAACTCGTCGAGATTTAGACGCGGTACATTGTTATTACAACGACATTGATCTCTCCACGCGTGTGACCTGGTAAAATTACCTGGTAAAATAACGTAAACTTTATGCAAACCTCAAGAGAAAAATAACCAATATTTGAACCAAAACCAAACAACCAAAATTTAAACAAAAAAAAAAATAAAATAAAAAACCAAATTAAAAATAAGCGAAATTTCGAAAAAAACCAAATTTTTTAATCAAAAAACCTAAAAACGAAATTTGGTATCAATCAAAAATTGAACCAATAGTATAAAGTATATAACCAAATTTGAAAGCGACTAGAAATTGGTTGCAACCGAAACTTGAACCAAAAACCAAAATTTAACCAAAAAAAATTAAAAAATCAATGAAAAATTAAACCAATAGTGTAAAGTATAACCAAATTTGGAAGCGACTAGAAATTGATAGCAACCGAAACTTGAACCAAAAACCAAAATTTAACCAAAAAAAATAAAAGAACTAAATTAAAAATAAGCGAAATTTAGAAAAAAAACCAAATTTTTTAATAAAAAAAAACCTAAAAACGAAATTTGGTTGCAATCAAAAATTGAACCAATAGTGTAAAGTATAACCAAATTTGAAAGGGACTAGAAATTGGTTGCAACCAAAACTTTAACCAAAAACGAAAAAAACCAAACTTTAACCCAAAAAAATCAATGAAAAATTGAACCAATAGTGTAAAGTATAACCAAATAAAAAAGCGACTAGAAATTGGTAGCAACCGAAACTTGAACCAAAAACCAAAATTTAACCAAAAAAAATAAAAGAACTAAATTAAAAATAAGCAAAATTTAGAAAAAAAACCTAATTTTTGAATAAAAAAAACCTAAAAACGAAATTTGGCTGAAATCAAAAATTGAGCAAATAGAGTAAAGTATAACCAAATTTAAAAGCGACTAGAAATTGGTAGCAAAACAAAATTTGAAAAAAATATTTAAACCTTAAGCAAACTTTAAAAAAATAATAATAACTAAAACTTGAAATAAATCCCAAAAAAATAAACAACCAAAACAAAAGCAAATTAAAAATAACCAAAATTTATAGAAAGAACCAAAGTTTGAGTCGAAACCAAAAAAAAAACCAAATTACGTAGCAACTACAACTTAAACCAAAACAAAACTAAAATTTGAAACTAAACTTTTTGAACTTGACAGTAATCAAAGTAAACCAACCATTTTAAAAAACGGAACCTCACGCAAATCTAAATAAAGAATAACGAATATTTGTTTTAGAAAAAAAAACCAAAATTTGATAACAACCAAAACTTGATAAAAATCATAACTTGATGCAAAACAAACAAAATAAAAATACAAATTAAAAATAACAAAAATTTAGAAAAAAAATCAATTTTTGAAACAATACCAAAAAAAAAGAAACCAATTAGCAAGCAAACCTTGAACAATAATAACCAAAACTTAAACCAAAGAAAACCAAAAAAAAAAAATAAATAAAACAAATCCTAATTAAAAATTACCAAAAAACTATCAATCAAAATTTGAACCAACAACAAAAATTGGTAGCAACCAAACAAATAATACAAAATCAAACATGGAAGTGATTAGAAATTGATAGCAACCAAAAATTAAAGATAACCTTAAACAAAAACCTTAAATTGAAGAATAACCAAAATTTGATATCAAAACTTGATCCAAAACAAAAATTTTGCAATTCCATTATCAAAAAATGAATTTGGAAAATTTCAAAAAAAAAAAAAAAATTTCAAAATATTAATACACAAAACTTTAAATACATCCGGAAATGAGAAAAAAAAATCACGACCTTCGTATATATTTATGAATAGAGAAATTTTTTTTTTCTTTTTTTATTATTATTATTCTTGAAGAAAAGCATAGAATGGGGCACAGTCATAATATTTAGTACCGACTATTAAAATCGAACGATCCTTGGTCAAGACTTGTATGTGTATGGCCTTTAAGAAAAATATAACGAAAACCGTTATATCGAGAGAGGTGTTCATTATCGATGACTACTTGGAAAATGTTTCTTTTCTTCTTAAGAGCGGAACGAAACATCCGAGCCGTTATTAAAGTAGCATGAGTTATTACGCGCGAAACGTTTGCTCAACTATCATGTTTAGCCAATTTTTTTTTTTCTGTCCCCCTAACCCACCTCCCCCCCCCCTCCCTCTCTCTCTCTCTCTGTCTTTTTTTCCCTAGTGTTCACAAATCGATTGCAGTTTCGAAGACTGATTAAAAAAAAAAAAAAAAAAAAAAAAAGAAACAAAAAGGAAAAAAAATTTGTATAAATATAATATAAAATACGTGAAATTTCATGGTCGATTGGTAACAGTTGTTCTCGTATATTCTATGTCATATCAAATAGAAAACAGGGACAAAGACAACCTGAGTATTTAGTTATTTGCGCCTATTATTATTATTATTATTATTATTATTATTATTATTATTTGTCCTCACCTCGATGTTCTATAATAATAATAATATTAACTTGACGCAAAATTACTCAATACTAGAAACGATTGTAAATATTATTGCTTTCTACGACATTCCGCACTCGATTTGCCTTTTGCGCGCACGTAATCGCTATTTTTCGAACGCGGGAATTATTATTATATACCGCGTTATAATATATACTTTAAGGTGAAGAAAAAAAAAAAAAAAAAAAAATAGAGAAACAGAAATAATATCTCGAAAGTTTGAGTGCGCGCGCGAATTTTATTTCTTCCTCTCTGCGTGTATATATATATACGAAATATTGAGAAATCAGAACGGAAATTTACTATATTAAATAATAATTATATTGAAAATTTATTGTAGTTTACGATATGAATATTGAGAAATTGTTTTTTTTTTTTTTTTTTTTTTTCTTTTCTTTGATTTTAATATTTTTAGAAAAATTTAAATTTTAAAACATAAACTTTATAACAAAAACAAAACTGAAATTTTTCACTTAAAATTTTAAGTATTTAACCATAAAAGTACAAGTAACTGAAATTTTTCACTTAAAATTTTAAGTATTTAACCATTAAAGTACAAGTAACTGAAATTTGAATTTTTCTTAAAAGTTTATTGCAAGCAAAAAATGAAATTTAACTTTTAAAAGTATAACTATAATACTTGAATTTTTATCTATTTATATAGTAACAAAAACTGTTAAATTCGATCAAAAACTTCTGAAGCAACCAAAACAAAAAAAAAAATGAATTTAATCTAAAACTTAAAAACAACCAAATTTTTAAATTGAACTCTCAAAGTTTTAATAAAAATTAAAACTTAAAAGCCCTACTAAAATTTGAACAAAAACCAAATAAACAACCAAAAAGAAAAGCAAAAAAAAAAAAAAATGATAGAACCAAATTAAAACCTAAAAACGAAACTTTGCGGCAACCAAAAATTTAACCAATAGTTTAAAGAAACCAAATTTGAAAGCGACTAAGAATTTGGTAGCAACTGAAACTTTAAACCAAAATATAACAAAAAAAAAAATAAAAGAACCAAATTAAAAACAAAAAATTCAGAAAAAAAACCAAATTTGCAATTAAAACCTAAAAACCAAAACTTGGTAGCAATCAAAACTGGAACCAATACTTAAACAAAACTTGGAAGTGACTACAAAGTAAAATAAACAAAAATTTGAAACTAACGTAAACATTAAGCAAATCTAAATAAACAATAACCAAAATTTGCTAACAACTGAAACTGAAATTAAAACCAAACCAAAAAATTTAAAAAAAAAACTAATTAAAATTAACGTAAATTTAGCAAAAAACAAAAAAAATTAAATTAACCTAAAATTAAAAGAAACCAACTTTAAAATTGAACCTAAAATATTTATTGAAACCAAAACTAAAAGATATACTGTTTATTAGCAGAAAAAAAATATTAAAACAAAAACCTAAATTTATATAAACCAAAAAAAAAAATTACAACATAAACCTAAACTTTCTATAAACCAAAAAAAAAAAAACCGTAAACCTTCAGTAAATCTAATTGAACAATAACTAAAATTTGCTAACATCTAAACTAAACCAAAAAAATTAAAATTAACGAAAAATTTAAATTAACCTAAACAAAAAAGCAACCAAAATTTAAAATTGAATCTAAAATATTAATGAAACCAAAACTTAAAATACCTACTGTTTATTTACAAAAAAAAAAAAAAAATTAGAACAAAAACCTAAATTTTCTCTAAACAAAAAGTAAAAATAACCAAATAACCAAAAATTGACTTAAACTTTAAAGAAACAAAACTTGAAAGTCAGTAGAAATTATTTAACAAAAACTTGAATTCGTCATATACATTTAAAAAAAAAACCAAACCAATTTCATCTAAGACTAACATTAAAAAAAAAAAAAAAATTCAATAATTAATTTTTCTCTTATATTTT